CATTCCTGAGGTGTTAATGCAGATCAAATGGGAAACACTCCAGAAAGAACTCTCCTAGCTACTGCCGTTCTTACCTCTCCAGTCCCAATCATTAATTCTTATTGTAAGATCTAAAGGTAATTTTGTTTGCTCTCTTAATGCGTTTCAGCTCTCCCAGTGGCCCTAGCATATCCTTTCTCAAATTCCCATCTTGATCAATTGTTTGCAAATAATTAAGCTTTTAAGAGATAATGGCATGAAGCTAATGTACACAACAAAGTAAAGGTCTCAAGTCACTGTCTATTGGACTATGGTTCAAATTTGCTTTGATATCCCAAAGTGATTAGGTTGATTGGTGTCTCTGGCAAGTGTGATCAGTATTTCCTTTATAAGCAACTATTAATATTTTTAAACTTGTCATTTGGACAAATATACTAGGGAAGAGGAGGCAATGGATCCTGTGGGGAGAGGGAGTGCTATTCGCACCGTGAACAGGAAGGCAGGATTAGTTGTAAATGTTTGGAGTGAATTTCCTATTTCTGGATAAAATGGCAGTTCTCCGGGCTCACCCTTGATCTCTGTCGTAGTGGCATGTCTGCCATTGCCTGTGGCCCTCACAGGCCTGACTAGCCCTGTGGGTGGGAATGCAACAGGGCTTTGGATGTTTTAGCAGGAGTCTTGCCTGTGGCATGTTAGTTCTTTGTCAGGTCATTTTTCTTTAGGCTACCAAGGAACAACTCCTAATGTCCACGAAGAGCTTATATAATAAGGATGCACAGGGTTTAAGACATTTCGAACAGATTGAGTTTCAGTTAAAAAGCCTACCTCATTGTGAATTTTTTGGCTGACTGGGAATTAGCTATGTAAAGTCGTGGCTTTCATGAGATTATAGCAATTATAGATTTTTCATGAAATGGAAAGTTTATGCCACACTAAGCCAGTAACTATGAGAAAAAAAATTAATTGGTTGACCTTAAATATACCATGGTTTAGGAATTGTGCTTTGGTACATTTTAGTAGAGTTTTGTGTGGTCTTTTACTTTCTTTCTTTCTTTTTTTCAGTAGTACTTAATTTTGTCCAGTCTTATCCATTTGGAGAAGAAAAAAAAAACAACCCTGAACAATTGGAAATTGCTTAATGGAGACAGAGAACTCAATCTTCATAGCTTGAGGCAGCTTAGCAATTATTGCTGCATGAAATTAGACACAGTTTGTTCCAATTACTTAAATCAGATCACATGAAAAGTGACAGAAGAAAATAAGAAAAGAGTAGAACTTTTTATGTTATGATATTTAAATTATGAAATCAGAAACTGAGCCACATGAAGAAGCAACACAAATTTGCACTTGAGATTGTGACTAGCATATTAGGGCGCTTTGAATGTTTAATGACTCTGGTCAGTCTAATGATTCAAAAGGGATTTTCTGGACAATGCTTGCATAAATAAAATGTGAATTCCACTGGCTTTATAAGTATGTATATGAACTTGCTCACAAACAGGCATGCAAAAAGACTTCTGAAAACACAGCACAAATAAATTACTGTAACAATTCCCCATTTCCAATGTAACTAAAGATAAATGGCATAAATATTAATTTTTATCCAGTTCTGGTCATAACATTAAGACAGATAATAAGATAGGACAAAGAAGATATAGCCATCAAGGTAAACTAAAAAAGAATACTGACATATTTATTGAGCACATTGAAAGTCATTTACAGTGACTTCTCAAAGAACTGAAAAACTTTAAGTGAGAAAATGCTATAGGCAGAAAATCATGTGTATGCCATAAGGCTGGTCTTTAAATGATAAATGCTTTATACAGGGGATGTTATAACTGGATGTAACAACTGTATAATTTAAAAGTGAGCCTGTGTTCTGGTTGGGCAACAGAGCTATGAATAAAACTGTTGCTAACTTGCAATTCTATGGTGATACTGTGTTAGGCTATCATTTGAAAACATAAGGTATATATTTATATTAGGACATATATATCTCTATGAGATTCTAGGATAATCACCATGGAAATGCAGCCATTATATACATGGAGCTGCAATACAGTGTTTTCCAGTGGTAGAATAAAAGATTTCTTTGGTTTCTGTATTTTGTGGCATGCCTCTTTCCAGTGGGAGTTAAGAGTTTTTGAATGAGAATTCTTATTCTACTGTAAAATGTGTTTCCACAAAAGGGGAAAGAAAGTACAGATATGAAGCCATAGACATGTGATGTGATTTTAATTTAACCCATTTACTTATGAGATGTTTAGTTCTTGACGGACAATAGTAGTTTGAGCAAAGGCATAGAGACGAGCACAGGGCTTGGCACCAGATAACTGAGATTCAGAATCTAGCTTTGTCCTTACCCTGGTGTCACCTTGGTTATGTTAGCTCATCTCTCAGGACTCAGCTCCCTCATCTATAAGAGGAGGTTGAACTAGGTTCTAAATTTACGATTCAATCACTGTGTCTCCTATAGTCTTCCAGGTTATTAATAAGAAAGCACTATAAAGTTTGCAATGTGATATATGTGTATAAGTATACACATATATTATATATAAACATCTATATGTGTGTATGTGTGTGTAAATACATACACAGTCTTACCTGAGCCTCACAACTACTCTGTGAGATAGGTAATAGGGAGTTAGTATCACCATTTTACAGATTTTTTTAAAAAATGAGGAAAGGCTCTATGGTACAGGGGGGAAAGAATCTGGAATCAGAGGCCCTGGGTTCAAATCTCTTCCTCTGCTGCTTCCACACATTTTGGTAGGGTTTTGTGTGAGCTTTTATTATTTTCTTTTAGAGGCTATGTCATCCTGGTATTTAATTTTGTCCAGTCTTATCCATTTAGGAAAACAACAATAATGACAATAACCTGAACAATAGAGCCCTATCTATGTGACCTTGGGCAAGTCTCTTAACCCCCTGGGCCTCAGTTTCCCCAATTGTGAAATGTGTGTGTTAGGGCCCTTACAACTTTAAATCTATATTATCCTATGAGGTCCAGTGGACTTAAGGGACTCTGCCCATGTTCACAGAGCTAGGAAGTGGCAGAGGCAGGATTTCCACCCATCTTTTGGATTCTACCTCCAGCATGCTATGTGCCTTGCTACCTTCCTTCTCATACTTGCCTTCCCTTTTACAATAATCCGCATGTGTACACCTATAGGGCATGCTTACAGTTACATATAGAAGCATAGAAGTGGTCATTAACATGATTTTTAAAAATCACATCTCATCAGACATTTAAAGCTATGCTAATTAGCCTTCTGGTGGACCAGAATTTGGTTTAGGTGATACAGGCAGTTAAATTCAATGTTGTGGTTGCCTTACTTACAATTAATGAACATTTTTTTAACCTCTAAAATTCACTGGGATATGATGTTCTTGTTAATTTTCATGTAATAGAATAGTGTCAGATAAGGAGATTATATTTTCAGGACCTCTTTTTACTTCAGATGTAGATTTCAGAATCGGGCATTTTTAGAATTGGGAGTGACTTGAAGAAATTATCTAGACCCTGGCTTCTTACCCACTTCCATGCCCCTTTGGCAGTCTGGTGGAAACCATGGAGACCTTGTCAGAATAATATTTTTAAATGCATAAAGTAAATAGGATTACAGAAGAAACCAAATGTATTGAAATTTTGTTATAAAAATATTTTTTACAAAACAAGTTTACATACTCCAGGTTAAGAAATCCCTCATCTACCCGGGCTCCAAAATGTGAAATTATTTGCCTGAGGCTTTAGTCATCGTCAAATGACAGGGCTTTCATTTGAACCTATGTCTTGGGACTGTTGCCACCCTTTTCATCTCAGTCATAGGACTTATGATTATTATGTATGCATTCTTAATAAAGGGAAGGTAGGTGGCTCAGTAGATAGAACACTGGGCCCGGAGTTAGGACGACTCATCTTTCTGAGTTTAAATCCAGCCTCAGACATTTACTAGCTAGGTGATCCTGGGCAAGTCGCTTAACCCTGTTTATCTCAGTTTCCTCATCTATAAAAAAAACTGGAAAAGGAAATGGCAAACCACTCCAGTATCTTTATCAAGAAAACCCGAATGGGGTCACAAAGAATAGGATAAAACTGAACAATAACAACTACTTCTGACTGTTACCACCCTTTCCAATTACGATTTGTGTATTATTAATGTGTATGATTGTGTTATAATTTCTTTGAGTTACTTATCGTATGAAAATGTAAATTTAAACTTAGCCTTTTCTAATCTTGTAACTTGTTTGTTTGGTATACCATTCATTTTTTATTTACACCTATGTATTATTTTGAGTCACATGAGAAGGCTTTGCTGTTTATTCTTAGGCAAACTGACAGCAGCCTTTTTACACTATTTTGAGTTATGCTGAAGATTCTAGCACTTATTGACACAAAGGATATGTATTTTAGTTGAAGTTTATTGTGGAATACTGAACACGAAGTGAAATTGTTGGTGATTTTTAAAAGGTAGTTATTCTAATTATGGACATTTATGTGTAGCAGTGTATTTCAGTATAAGAAGTACTGGCCTCATTGTTAATTAACTTCTGTGGGCCTCAGTTTTTTTCAATCTATAAAATGAGGGAGCTGAATTTGATGATCTTTAAGGTTCCTTCCACTTTCATAAATAATTGGGAGATTTGTGTGCCAAAATTGATTTGAATTCCTACCATTCGAATGCAAAGCAAAGCAATACAAACTACTAGATCCTAACTTTTATTCATGTGCATACAGAAAATACTGTACTAAACTTTGAATTGCAACAAATAAACCCATTAAGGATAAACTCAGTATCTAGGTATTGCAAGTATCCTAAGTAGCTATTTATACACTTCAGTAATCTTTGTAATTGGCTTGTCTTTTACTGCCATTAATTAGATGATGTAGTATTCCATTAATAAGAGTGACACACCTCAGCATTTTCACCTTTAATTACAGACTTCAGTAGGCACTTAGGTTATTGACAAAATGGCCTAAATATTGTCTGATACACACATATATTTTTGTTGTCTTTCAGCATCCTTACCCTTCTGAAGAACAGAAAAAGCAGCTGGCACAAGACACAGGCCTCACTATACTTCAAGTGAACAATTGGTAAGTAATTTGACGTTTACACATAATCAGTATTCGAGCCTCTGGCAACCTGCAGCTAATGTTTTGCATTAAGAAGACACACCCAGTCATTGCAGCTTTCCCTGGTGGCTTGCTGATGCAAAGGTGAAAATGGTCTGCCTTCATTGACAGAAGGCACTGAGGAATTTTAATGCAAGTGTGAAAAGCACATGATATTTACTCTCATTTTTAAAACAGATACATTTTAAAGCAGGAACTATAAGTGCTTGTCCAGAAAGATATTAGGATAACTTTTCCCCCTCAGAACAATCAGCAACTCAAGAAATATTGAAATCTGTGTTTACTAGAAAACCCCCAAGTTTATCTTCTCTTCTGTCAAGTTTGCATTAATGCATTAACAGCATCCAGATCCTCTCATTATCAATCAAGGAAATTTTCTCCTCTGTATAACCAACATACTGAAAGTAAGAAATTCTTAATATTTATCTATGAAGAAGGCTATTCAAAACCTGATGCCCCTGAGGGGTGTGTAGCCCGATTCCTAAGTTAATGTTGAAGTTCTGGATTTTTGAAGGGCAAGATTAAGTACTAAGTACTAACCAACATCATACTGACATTGTATACCAGTGAGGCAGCAAGGCTTTGGAAAAGTGTGATTTATTGCTTTTCATGAGTGCATTGAAAGCAAAGTTTTATATTATAACTCAGAGCATCTCTTTGAAGGGTGTAGAAAATGAATGCCTTGCAAAATAAGTGTAATTAATTAATTGTATTGATATTTTAGGTTAGTTTGTATGATTGAGAAAACTTTTCTATTTTGAAATAAGACCCAGAAAAGGCCAAAAGCCCAATGAGGGGAAAGTATCCCATGGAATTCCAGTTTGAAGACGGAAGTATTTTTTTTCCCATTCAATAAGTGTCGGAGATTAATATTGCTGAATCACTGATTACATGGCCTAATCCGTTTTAGTGAATAAATTTGTTCTAGATGTCCAATGCACCTACATTAACAAACCCTTCTCTGTTAGAGACTAGGAGCCTATGGGAGAGATTTCAGATATATTAAACCCCATTACAGAAAATGTAATTTCTGTCAATATAATCCCATGTATTCTTCAATTTAGTACTTTGGAGATAATGAGCTACTTACAATATATTTGCCTTTGGAGGATTAATTTACAAAGTGCCCTATCTGGGAGACACAGACAGACTCACACAAGCATTGCTTGTAAGGGTTATCAATTTCTGTGACCTTACAGCAGCCTTGGGAGATCCCTTTTTTCATCCCTTTTAGTTAGTGGATAGGAAACAGAGTGCTGGGTGTAGTATGTAAATGTGTTACTAGGCATCACGCTGTATGTATGTGTGTGTGTGTTTTAAGTTACTATGGCATCTTATTTTTTTAAGCCCCTTTACAGTCACAGATTTTGACTCATCTTTTAAAATGTGTTTGGGGTAGACATGTTTTCTAGGTCAGATTCTACATTTGCATATTCTTCCAATTTAAGCTGACTGCTGGGTACTTTTATACCATATAGGAGTCACATGAAGTTAAAATGCCCCCTGAGAAATGCTCCAGGATTAAGGGGAAAGAGAGCATAGTGGACTCCCTCAATGAGAAAGACAAGTGTACTCTCTCTCATTCAGGTGACGTGTTGGCACATACCATCATCTCCTCTCCTCCTTATGGTTGCTAGCAAACTCAGTCTATAAACTTAGCTACCAGAGAAACAGTTCTCTTGTAAGCAGGTTTTCATGAGCAATAATAACCTTATGGGACATTTCCTGTAGATGAAGGAACAGGCTAGGTTTTTAGTAAATCTGAGAAAATTACCAGTGCCATTTTCCTGAACTCTATAGAAATGCTGCAAGGGGGTACTTTGTTTTGTTTGGTTTTGTCTTTATTTCTCAGATGAGTTAAGAATCAGGAATCTAGAGGAAAAGTTGTTTAATTTATGTTTGTTTCTAATGCTATCATTGGAAAAGGAGGTATAGACAAAAGTCCTCATGTGATTTCCAAAAGTCATTGATTGTTTAAAAAAATAGTTTTGAAACGTTTTAAAGTACAGTAAATATGCTGTCAATTTCACTATGATCTCAACTTTTAAACATGTTACTTTAAGCATGTGACAAAATATTTTGGTTTCACTTTAACAAAATGAATTCAGTATCTTACTATTATTACTACTTTCTCTATGTAAGTATGATATATGTATAAAAGACATATAAGTTTGGCTTGTTTGTATGTCATCGTCCCGAATTGGACAGTTGTTTCAAATGTAACTCCATTGTTTGCGGAATTTTCTCTACATCATTTGAATTTGCCTAGTAGAACAGGAATATTTTTTGAAAAAAAATGACATTTCAGTGTTCGGTTTTGGTTTTAAAAGCTCCATGATCTGAAAATGAGAATATCCAGAAAGGATATTAAGGAGACTGATGGTATGACAAAGTCTGTAATCATATCACATTCATAAGCTAAAAAGGAAAGTAACCACTGAAGAGTTTTTTTGTTTTCCCTTAATGACAGAGGAGAATGTAAAGGGTTTCTGGAATTTTAAAAACTTGGTCATGGATACAATACTTATCTAAAGAGAACCTAAGTTGCTTATTTCTGGAAAAAACCCCATCAATTTTACTGTAATTAAGGGGTTTTTTTTATTTATCATTATGTTATTCTACAACAACTTTCTAAATTTCTTTTGGTCTTCCCTCTTAGATTCCTCAAAACTTGTTAACACAGAATGTGTGGTGGTTTTTTTTGGTTTTTTTGGTTGGTTTTTTTTTTTTTGTAATGATGATTCATTGTAAATCACTGTTGCAGAGATTAAATAAAATGCTGAAGGGGAGCCTAGGTACAGATCAGTCATAAATTATTGGCAGCAACATAGCATATGGGAATACATATAACGTGCAAGAAAAATATAAATACATTTTGGATAATTAGACCAGCATTGAAATTTGGAGTTTCTAACATAGAAATATGTTCATTTTAGAACTGAAAAAATATTCTCTTTCTTTTGGTCTTCCTCTAGTTTTATTGTAGGACCTACTCTAAAGTTCTTGCAAATAAATCTGGCTAAGATGGATTAAAATTCTAGCTCCAAATGTTTACAGCTATGTAGATGATCAGTTACTCATCTCTCAAAATCTCAGTTTTCCTCTCTATTAAATGGGGGTAATGATAATTGTGATACTGAACTCACAGAGCTGTTAGGAGGAAAGTGCATTGTATACCTTAAAGCACTATTGAAATATGAACTCTTAGAGCTCAAAATCTTGTTTTTCTTCTCTTGGTTAATAGTTGTTCTTAGGCTAAAGAGAATGGAATGCTTAATAAAAAGCAATGAGACATTTCCAAGTATAAGAGAAAATGTGGAGTAAAAGTGAAATAATGTTACAAGCTATTGATTTCTGCCTAAAACACTAGTCAAAGAGGAAAGTAAACAAACCCCCAAAAGGCTCATAGGTAGTTGTTACTATAATTTGGGGTATTAATTGATTGTAAGAATTTACCAAAAAAATCTTGGCCCATGAGAACTGAGGCAGTTATTCAGATAATGTCAAATCAAAATGTATTTTTATTGCAATTATATAATATTTAATTAAGTTTTTTACTTTACCTATGAGTATAGGCCTGGGCTTGCCATCATGAAAAACATTTTTTTTTAAATAGAAACTTATGGCCTTAAAGATAGTGCATGTGTGTATGTGTGTATACATATGTATATATAAATATAGATATCAATGTGTTTATATGTATATGTATGTATTGTATAGCTACATATAAAACTTATCTGTACATACACATATATATACTCATATACATATCTATATACACATAGATATCTATATCTACATATCTGTATCTATATATATGCTTTACCTTTCTCCAAATTTCTTCCTTTCATTATGTGGTAATCAATCAAAAGATGATCAATGATAGCTTTTTTTTTGCCTTTTGTCTATTTTTTAAGTGGTAGACAATTCTATTGTACAAGCAGAAAAAGGTTATTAAATAGTAAGCTAGAAGTTTGTTTTATTCATTAAGATATTTATCTTTTTATCATTTTAATTTAAATCAAATGTGATTGTAGAATGATTGAGTACTATTTTCAAACCCCTCAGAGCTGTTTAGGCTGAATGTTTATAGGAAAGGAGAGAAGATACTGGATCTCTAGTCCTCCTACACTGGCCAATAGCACTTTTAAAATTTAAACCTTGAGTGTAGAACAGTGAAATAAAATACCACATACACATTTATAAATATATATATATATATATATATATGTGGGGAGAGGGCAGGCAGCTGGGTGATGTAGTGGATAGAGTGCCAGGCCTGAAGTCAAGAAGACACATCTTCCTGAGTTCAATATGGCCTCAGCCATTTACCAACAATGTGACCCTAGGAAAGTAACTTCACCCTATTTGCTTCAGCTTCTTTATCTGTAAAATGAACTGGAGAAGAAAATGCTAAATCACTCTGGTATCTTTGCTAAGAAAATCCTAACGGGGTCATGAAGAGTCAGAAATGACTGAACAATAACCTCAAACAATTGTGTGTATGTATTTATTATGTATGGATATATGCATATATATATGTGTGTATTTATGTTGTACCAGTGCCACACACATATGTAGTATTGATATGTATTATACACACATATACACGCACATACTTGTACCAAATGTTATAGATAGGAAAATTCGAGGAAGAGAGTAGAAGATAAAGGCTCTCTTTCTTGTGATAAAAAGTTGGGCTCTTTCATTGAACCATTCAGCAGGTGAGATACCATCACTTATTAACTCAGCAGAGATCTAGTCCAAAGTTTATTGAACAATCTTGACAGTTTCCTTGTTTACTACTTCCTCAGCCAAACCCTCTGCCATTAAGGAAATGATATTAAAAGATTATTTCTTTATGCTCTGAGTAGGCAATGTGGGTTTTATGTGTAAAAGTCTATCATATATGAAATACAATCTGTGTGTAGAGAGAAAATCACTCTCTATCAATATGTATA